GAGGAGGCTCAGGGAGGCCTTATCACCACCTACAACGCCCTGAAAGGAGGTTGGAGTCAGGTGGGGATTGGTCTCTTCTCCCAGGCAACTAGCAGTAGGACAAGAGGGCACAGACTCAAGCTCTGCCAGGGGAGGTATAGGTTGGATATTAGGAAAATATCTTTTACAGAGAGAGTGATCAGACATTGGAACGGGCTGCCCGGGGACGTGGTGGATTCACCATCCCTGGAGGTTTTCAAGATGAGACTGGATGTGGCACTTAGTGCCATGGTCTAGTCATGACAGTAGGGTTGGACTTCATGATCTTTGAGGTCTCTTCCAACCTGGTTTATTCTATGATTCTATGAAAACTACAGACACTGCTTTACCTCTCTCACTGGATTTTGGGTTGCAGTAAATGCCTTGACAGTTGATGTGAAAGGACTGGAATTGCAAACACCATATACTGATTCATAAGGAAAGGCATTCCCACGTTTATTTTCTTTTGCTTGGCTTTTCCACTGTGTAGGCTAAACAGAAATATAAGCAGAAATTGCAAGAGTCATTAACCACAAAAGGATTCTTTTCAGGAATCTTCAGAAAAATGATTAAGCAAAAACAAATCATAACTACAACCTTAATGTAGTGCAAACATCTGTTTTCTTGTGGAAAAGAGGCTGTTTATGAGCAATTCATCTCCTCACAAATACTGTTTATGCTATTTATACAAAGACTAAAATTTCAAAGAAATTAAGATCATCATATTTGAGGTATTAAAAATTAAAATGTTAGTCTTCAACAGCTGAGAGTATTCTTTTTAGATGCAGAATGTTAGCAACTTACAAACTTGTCCATCATCTCAAGATCACAGAAATATTTCTGAAACAAAAAACCTAGATATTAACATGGAAAGTTGCATTTGGTGAGAGACCAGAATGGCACTAATAGGTTACAATATCATCGCTGTCTATAACTGGGATAAATTCTGAAGGTATTATTATGCTGACTATATGTCTCCACTAGGCATCTATTTTTTCTGTTAAAATCATACATACAAAAGACACTGCTAAAACATTGTTTTCACTCTCACTTGTACAGCTCTTGCACTTCTCAAAAATGGCAAATGAGAAACAAAGAGAGATTCAATTACAATATAATTTTCGAAAAAAAATGAGAAGAAATTGTCCAAAAGCTGGACTAGATGATCCTTGTGGGTCCCTTCAACTCTGAATATTCTGTGATTGTATTAATTTTTGGGGCATGCTGCACTTAGCAAGTGTTAAAAGCTTGATAATCTAGGAACAGTACTCTCAGGGGTAAAATAAACACATTCAGAATCACAGCATGATTTTTCTCAGCATGTTTTTCATGCCACCAGTATTCCATATTCACCTTTGTGGGTAGAGTGACAGGTTTGGGGGCTAATGTTTTATAAACACTTGTGCCAGTTCCATTCCTTACAGGCTGTGAGTGTAGACTTCCCACAGCTTGGAACCCAGATACTCGTTCTTTTGCGCTGCTGTTTGTAATGACCAGCGTTCTCTGAGACCTAGGTTTAGGATTCAATGGGTACTCTGGAAAAAAGAAAGAAGTGTGCGTGTAAGTGCACGCGTATACAATCTTTTTGGTTTCTAGTTCATAAAGTACTGCATAGCCACATGGTCCATAGCAAACAGGCATAAATCAGGAACTTAGTTCAGGATTCGTTCCACAAATAACACACTGTACAAACCTGGACAAACACCAGCTCTGTTCCATTTTCTACAACCATCGCTTGTGAAATATTTCACTTGGCAAGGCAGAAACTGCACCTTTTGAAAGTAAAGATATTCTTCAAAGAAGCCACCTACACAGTTCTACAGAATGCTACACAGCAATTCTCAAATCAAAATACTACTAGTTGTTGATAGGTACCTAAACTTCAAAAGCAATTCTGGCTTTCATATTTCCTTTAAGGCTTCTAGAAGGATAATTACTCACATATTTATTAACAGCTTCGTTTAGAGCCAAATGCTCCACACTGAGGCTCTATGAAGATGAGACAAGATGTGCACTACTCTAGACCATGGCAATGACCACTTTCGCTAGCTCCATGCCTCAGATGGGCATAACAGTACATCTGAAGCTTACAACGTTTCCATGTTCAATGGAGCACTAATTAAGAGACATACAGACAGCTCTCATACCATCAGAAACCGATATTTAGCATTTTTAAGGAAGACCTATTAAAAACAGTTGTATAATTTTCAAGAAGTGAAGAAACTTTTTTTTTTGTACATGCATTCCAACGCTGCATTAAGAGCCTTTTCCAAGATTATCTCCTCTCCCTGCAAGCAATTTTGCTTCATGGGCAGAGTCAATATATCCTCCATTTAAAAACAAATCCTATCATGAGAGTGTACTGAACTTTAGCTTTGTTTAGCAGGTAGATGTTACATAACATTTGTCATAACTGGATACTTCACTCTCATTAAACTTTATGACAAGACTTTTCACAATACTCTCATGTGCCGATGGGATATACACAAGGTAAAATAGAATCTAGTCAAAGCACATGTTTTTAAAAGGTATTAGAAGGGATTGTAATGCTCCTCTTGCCCTGAATACTGTTTCCTTTAAAAGGAAATAATAGCAGCCCTAATTTCAGTTTTTCATTTACAAATCAAGGTGTTCAATAGCAGAGCTGCAATACAAAGATACCAAGCTGTAAACTGCAAAAAGTCACTGCAGTGTAGCTTACAATTTGGACTAGATCCTCTTAAAAGGTCCCTTCCAAATCAAACCATTCTGCACTTTTATGTAGCTGACAGAACCATTCCTTCCTTTGCTGGTGAAGAGTGATTACCCGAAAAGCCTGGAAAGCTTGCCTTCCCTCAAATTGCTATGTATTTATTCCCTAATTGGTTAGGAAGGAATTTAGTTACTGTTACTTTTTTATTGAAAGATGCTGAAACAGGCCCAGAGAGTGGTGGTGAATGGCGCCACATCCACTTGGAGGCCAGTCACTAGTGGTGTTTCACAGAGGTCAGTGCTGGGCCCAGTTCTCTTTAATATCTTTACTGATGATTTAGATGAGCGGGTTGAGTGCACCATCAGCAAGTTTGCAGATGACAAAATTGGGGGGGAGTGGCATTGGAATGTGCTGCCTGGGGAGGTGGTGGATTCACCTTCCCTTGAGGTTTTCAAGACGAGACTGGATGTGGCACTTACGGCCATGGTCTAGTAACCATGGTAGGGTTGGACTTGATGCTATTTGGGGTCTCTTCCAACCCGGTTGATTCTATGATTCTATGAATTTCACATGAAAGCTGCTAAACACGCAAAACCAAAAATCAGTCCAATTGTTTAGAATCCTGTGAGATTCATAGTAATTAGACACTTATACTAAGGGGTTGGCCTGCATTTAATGTTACCTTGGAGTACAGCACATAGTGGGAAAATATGAGAACAATAACCAGCAAATTAAGGTACCATTTAAAATCTCAGTATTAGTCACAGTTTGAATAATAGCTTTTATGTTTAATTAAAAGTATTTTTAAAGGAAGAGAAAGGTTCTTGAGTACATTTATTACTTTAAAACCCCTGTACCCGAAAGCTACCACCTTCTGAAGGTCAAACAATTGATCATATAAAGCCCATGGAATTGTCAAGTGATAGACAAACTGAATCAGGTAGAGATGACTAAACAATCCCAGACTACAGTTCTGTTCAATGCCTACACTCAGGATTGGATTTGTTACAAATACTTCATAAACACAACCAACAACTTAAGACATTTGCTTCCAGAAAGAGAGCTTAAGCCTCTGCAAGATAACATTCTTTTCCCAGCCCTCCTAGGTTTCTCCCCAGACTCTTCCAACATGTCTAATCAGTCAGAAGCATTCTTTTACCAAGACTCCAGCTAGCAGTCACATCACTAGTTTAGGTGACCCTCCTTCATGCACTTCCTCTTGAAAATAAATGTGAAAATAAATTCTTGACACCTTTACAAAGAAGATGCGCACTTGCTCTGGGAAAGAATCCCAGTTGTGTCTACATCTGCAGTCCAACTGACTGATTACTCAAATAGAAGTGTTACCTCTTTAACAAAAATATACCTACACTGTAATAATATTGTGGTTTTTCTCAATTTCAACCGATAGTTTTACCATTCTAAAATACAAAGGCCTGTGTTTCAAATGAAACAACTTCAGATTTCTGCCACATTTCTACATTTAGAAGCATCAGAAGTACTCACCCCACACACCTGCAGCTAAAGATTTGTTCCGGTTTGAGTCTCTCTCATATTCAGGGTTTAAAGATGGCTGAAAGAAAGTTTTATCATTATCAAAAACTAAGTCTCTAATTCTGGGATGAATGAAATAAAGAATGACAATAACACCAGCAGTATAACTTCTGCTGACAAAAATTTTTGAACGTAGACAGACTAGACAAT